CTAGAGAGTCACTCTGACTTTATGTTTATGTCTTTCAAGTCTTTCGTCTTTCTAGTACTATTCGTCGTCAAGTCCATATGTCTTTTATTGATATTGATGACGATTCTATTTGATTTGTAATATAAGTTAATGTACTGGACAGTCAATTTATTTGCGGGTTATCTGCGACACCTTAGCCAAGTCAGCATTCCCTTTCCAAAACTATTCGCAGGTCAATAAGCTTATCAGCTTGGACGACTACATCAAACAGTGCAAAAAGCAGCCCAAGAAGAACCTCAAGAGTCAGAAGGAAAAGAAGCGCTGGATCAAAGCAAATTTTCCAGATGTGAGCATCGTGAAGCATCCACAATCTGGCCGAGACTGCGTACCCGTCGAACAAGATATGATGATGTTGGTTGGCTCACGTACCAGTTCTTCAAGAATCAAAGAAGAACGCTTTGAGGATAAAAAGGCTGCGAAGACATCGTTTGCCAAGGCCAAGGAGGCCCTGCAGGTCCAGACCAATTCGAAGGACAGGGTGACGGTGAAATTCGACTAATTTATTCCGAATTCCGAATTCCTGATAAAGGTTGGTCATTTTTTTAGGTGATTCAGATTCAAATTCAAATTCATTCAGATTCAGATTCATGACTCTAAGTTTTTTGCATTCTCAATTCTCAATCCTTCACGGACCACACTTCAACCAACAACTACCTACCCACTGGAGTTCGAGTTGAGTTAGAGTCAGAGTTACAAGATGTAACAAGTCACATTTCGTCTTCCATTTAGTTTCACTCTTCTCACTGTTTGTGAAACCCACAGAGAACGCCACTAACCGGCATTCACACCTTCATCCAGGAAGAGCTGCAAAAGGCCCAAGAGCAAGGGGAGGATAGCCAGAATGAGGAGGAGCAAGAGACTAAGGGCAACAAGGAAGACAACTCTGATGCCGACAGTGAATCCAGCTTTGGTGGCTTTGGGAGTGATTCAGAAGGTCCGCGGCCAAAGAAGAGAGCAAGGCAAGACCAGCCAAGACAGTCTGACAAGAGCCGCGACAAAGATCCCAAGGTGAAGGAGAAGCAGCAGGAAGAAAAGAAAAGGCAAGCAGCAGCTGCGACAGCTGCCAAGTCAAAGGAAAGGGAAAGCAAAGCTTTGAAAGCCAAGACAGAGCGTGCTGACAAGCTATTGACAGCGGCCAAGAAGTGTGACAGCATGCTGACGGAGGTCAGTGCTGACATGATTTGGCGCAGTGTTATCAGAACTGGCGAGGTCGAGCGTCGCTTGCAGAAGGCCATTCAAGCAAAGAAGGAGATGACAAGTTTCATTGACAATGAGGGCTACAGCTACTTTGGTGATGAGAGCCCGGAGAGATCCCGTGAGATCAGTCACTTCTTGGATAAAATGCAGGGCATAGTGGAGCTCATGACTGACTTGAAGGACCTTTGCCGTGATCTCCGCGTGGTCAGCCCTGAGAACTTAGTGAAGCAGATGACTGAAGGTGGTGACCTCCCTACGTTGCTCAAGAGTGTATTCAACGCACTCCTCAATGACAGGGACCAGGCTACCCTTCTGGACATCACCTGCACTTTTGCCAAGAAGCTGCATGGCGTGACTTGGACATACATTATTGCAGCCGTGAGCCGTGCTATCGCCCATTGTCATTGTACAATTAGTTGTATTGTAGTCTTGTAGTTGTATGCTGTATGCATGTGTGACTTGTTTCAACTGAGCTTTGATTCCAGCACCAGACTGGACTTCAGACTGCCAAGTTTTTCCAAGATCAGAATGAATTCATAATTTTACTATTTTCCCGAACTCCCTGTAGCAATCAAGCAAACCGAACCATTCAGAACCATGATATATGATTCTATGATATATAATATGTCATGATTCCTGAACCACGAATCAGAATCATCATTCAATCAGCATTCATGTTCCTCCAGATTCATTGTTGCGGGTAATTCGCTAGGCCCAGTGGCCCAGGCCCATAGGTCTCCGGTGCTCTCCAGTGTTTGCATTCAACTCAGGCTGACAACTTCTTATTCTTCAAGTTTTTGAGGATGAAAAAGCAGCCTGCTGAAGAGCCTGAGATCCACATGTCCCTGTACCATGTGGTGGAAGAATTCGGCTACCAGCCACATGACAGGGAGGACCCAGATCCCAGTTCGCCTATTGCGTGGCCATTTCTTATGAAAGCCCAGAACCAGTGCGCATCCGACTTCTTTGAGAAGCTCCGCTTGGGCAGTGGACTGGCTATGGCTGAGAAGGCCATCCCGCCCTATCTCAAGATCAACAGCTTGGATATGTATCAGTGGTGCCTTGGCGTGAGAAATTCCCTGGCTGTAGCCTAGGCTTCCCTTGGGTTTGAATCCCGCCCCACAGTTTCAGATTTTTTTGCTACTAGTACTACTACTACTGTTACTTCTACAGCTTCTACCGTTGCCGTTTTCTCGTCAAGTCCTCGGAGGTTGCCAAGCGAAGTTGACATCTTCAAGGTTATGGACATCAGTGACTACCAAAATTTGACTGGACTTTCAGGACAGGTCATGCTGAACGTCCAGAGGGTCCTTGCCTGCCTTGAAATGCAGAAGAACGAGGTTGACACAAAGTACCTCAGCCTCGTGTCCAAAGCTAGCTACAGCAAGTCCTTGGTGATGGCAATGAATGCGCAATCTGAGTGGAGGCCGGGTAATGCGGTTTGAGGGGAAGCTAGTAGGCTGGCTAGTAGTAGTAACTCCACAGAGTCTTGCTGGAGACTTCAGACTTGACGACTGTCGAGCTGACAAACAGACTGCCAGTTGTACTTGTACTGTACTGTGTTCTAAACTGGACTGAACCACACACCATACTTTGCTGATTCACTTTTGTTTGAGGGCTTAGGAGTCTTAGGAGTACCGGAGCACCAGAGTATCGCACGCTGCAGGTCTTTGTGGACCAAAGTGCTGGCAGAAGTGAAGAAGCACAGCGAAAAGCGTGTTCCAAGTCTGGACATGGATGCTTTGGCCAGGGCATTCGAATCCGTATGTGCTCTCCAGCTGGAGTCTGCCAGCACGCCTGACCATGAGAATACAATCCGCATCCTCTTGGATTTTTTGAAGGTGTTCGGGAACCTGGATGACCGCTACACCCACAACCAGCAAGAGGAGAGACTCAAGTTTCAGGAGAGCATTGCAAAGCTTGTAGCTTGGTCTCAGGCAAACTTCACCCCAAATCTCCCTGAGATGAATGCGAAGCTGTTACGAATGCTCAAGGAGGGATCCCCAGAGGAGGCAAACACCATGCTTGAGCGTGCTGACAAGTTCAAGACGGTCAACCTCAAGCTTCCGGATGAGTACAACAACCAATTTTTGATGCAGTGCTCCATGGCTAGTTAGTAGTAGTGTTAGTGTTTGTCATGTCATGTCAAATATTTTCAATACTGACTCAGACTGAGACTTTATTTCCTGTTTGCTTCACTCTCATCCATATTTTGGGAGCATTGCGGCCAATGCCAGTAACATGTCTTTCTGGATTCCTCCAAATTCCTGCACCACCAACAATCCAAGGCGAGATGCAGCAGATCCTGGGATCGTTTTCTTTCTCTGGTCAGACAGTGGAGCCTGGCCTTGGCACGGTCCAGCGATGCTGTGACGCAGTCAAGGCGTACCTGCCCCCTCCTGAGGACATTGTTGCGCAGATCATGGCTGCGATGGGGCTCTCCCAGTCAATCGCCGCAGCAACCACAAACCAGAAGGAGACTGCTTCAGAAGCTGGAATGAACCCAGTATGTCAGGCAGTTCCAGAGACCCCATGGGATCACAAGCGCTTGCTGAGTGAAGAGTACCACTCATTCGCGCTGGCCTTGCAGGGGGCAAATGGCACTACAGACTTTCAGGACCCAATGGAGGTGGAAGGTGTCATCAAGTGCATGCCTTCGTTTGAGACCATGACATCAGCTTTGCAGTCTCCCTTCTTGGCTGTGGATAGCCCTGACCCGCTGTTCATTGGCCTCAAGGAGAAGTTTGAGCACTTGACTGCCCGCTTCATTGATGCTGCTGACAAGAGCCTCACTGACATCCAGGATGCTCATGTTCCCGGGTTTGAAGCTTTCATGAAGCAGTTTGACGATGTGCCACCGGCAGTTGAGAAGGGGAATGTCACTACCATCACGCACCACTTCTTGGATGAGCAGAGCAAAACCAAGGAGGCGCTGGAGCAGCTTCAAGCTGCGAAGGAAAATGCTGAGCCTGTCCTAAAAGGACTAGAGACCATGTGCTCACATACTTCCGGATCCGAGCCCTTTACCAAGATCATTGCCACAGCAAAAGGCCTTTACAAGACAGTCATGAGCCTGAGCAAAAATGCGGACCAAATTGCCGGGCTTTTGCTGTTTGGAGGCCTTCTTGTCCAGGCCAATGCCAAGGCCACGGATGCAAAGGCAACCATTGAAATGGCTCAGCAGGCTTTTGGCTACTCCAAGGACAAATTGCCAAGCAAACTTCAGAAGCAATTGGGTGATTTGCTGAAGTTGGATTCTGAGCCAAAGCAGAGTGGTGACCATGACCTCAAAAAAAACAAAGAAGGAGAAGCGTAACAAGCAGGAGAAAGACGCCGCCACAGCCAAGGACAAGTCAGACAAGCGCAAATCTCGCAAAGGTGATGGAGACAAGAAGGCTAAAAAGCCGAAAGGAGGCGTTGACATTGACTGATCCGCTTGGCTCTGCTCCATTTTTGAATTTTCTTCGTACAGTGACAGTGTGCTTGGTTAGCGTAACTCACTTTGACAGTGGCGGTATGAAAAAAAATGGAGGCTTGCACTGCGAGCTGCTGCAGAGAGCTGACAGCTAACTTAGAGTTTCCAACATTGTTTCCCGATTTCTTTCCCAGTGATCTTCCCAGCCTTTTGCTGTGGAGAAAAGTTTCCCAAGGTTCCCCCATGTTTTTTCCCAAACTTCCTCCCTGTGTTTTGCTGTAGAACAGAGATAGAGATCAACCAGATCTCTAAATCAAGCCACCTTCCAAAGCACTGCGGGGTCTTTTTTGGATGTCTCAAGCGCCATGCATGGGATTCCCATGCTCTTGGTCTGGAAACATCTTCAGAGGGATATCCCTGGCCAGTGGCATTCCGACCCAGTTTCGCCGTGTGTGCTCCTGGCCATGCGGCAGTCTGTCTATGGATAGAACGGGTATAAATGAGCTTGCAAGGTGTACAAACATGGCAACATAATTGGCTGCCATATAACCTTGCTTTGTTTACGCATGCAGTAATAATCTAAAACATGCATGTTGCTCACAACTGAGTAGGAAAAGGGTTCTTCTGAATTTCTTTATCATCAGTGGCTTGCTTGGCCCAAGAACAAATAGATGCTTTTCGCTCCTCTTCGGAGTGATGACGAAGCAAGAGAGCACCCCCCAAACTCAGTTCTCTTCTTGCACACAGTCATTGGATGGAGAACTCGAAGAGTGGTTTCTTCAACTCTTTAGATCTCTTGATGTTCGGTCCCTGTCGACGGGAGCCTTTCCAGCTGAGACAAAAGCGCAGCCTCCACTCCAACAACGCTCTGTTTTTGGCGCCTTCCCGTTTCCCGCCCTATTTGTTTTTTTTCCCACTCCTTCCCGTGCTTGAGACGTAGGTGCACCGGCAGTTGAGGGTCATCCTCCCTGGAGGCTGGCTCTGGCACTTGCCCAAAGACCTGAATGCGAGAACCTGCTGGGTGCTGGGTGGTACATCAGACATAGAACATTCAGGGTGAACTTGGAAGGGAGTTAGGATGGTTTATGTTGCTATGTTGAAATGTGAGGATTTGAGTCAACCCAAACTGCATCAGCAAGCGGCCCTGGTGGCCCTGGTAGGTCTGGAAGATGGCGGGAACAACTGCCATGTCTTGCGTCCAGGAACACCCCACGACGCCACAAGAAAAAACAACGGCAGGACACCACAGGCAGCGGCGCACAGTCCAGCACCGACCACTCCGGTCTTGCAAAGGTCACCTCTGCTTGCGGAGTACTCCATGTATGCCATATATGCCCACATTGACCTCCCAAACCGCCCCTGGTGATCGGCAGTCCGGACTGGCAGTCCGGACTGGCAGTCCCTTCTTCGGGTCGTGTCTGGGGATGTGTCGGGTCTTTCGCCCTCGCAAACCTGGCACCGACCATAAGGACCTCTGGTCGCAACATCGACCACTAGGCCCCAGGCCACATGCCAAAGGAATTCGAAACCATAGCACTGTGTGCTACGCTTCGTTCCTTCCATGCCGCACAGGTCGACGTTCTTGGACCCATCCACCAAGCCCAACATCCGCAGGTAGAAGTCCTGAAACGAAGACGATGAGTCAGCCAGCTCGCCGCAAAACAATAGCTGTTTTCGTTAACTAGACGACGAGTGGCCCGAAAGCAATTTTTCATCACGTAGGAAGTCAGAGTGCGAGTTATCCGGTAAGTGTGCAGTGAGAAGTGTGAAGTCGAGTGAGTTGAGGTAGTGTGTGGGTTTCTGTGCGTGTGTCTATGTCCGTGTGGAAATGAGTCTGCGTATGTGTGTGTTCGTGTAAGTTGAGGGAGTGTGTGGGTGTCTGTGTGTGATGCGGCCTCCCAAACCCCCCACCGGCGGCCAAGCGGTGACAGCCCAGCTCATCGTCGTGAGCATTTGGGCTGCTGGTAAGGGGACAATGGCAGCCAGCGTGCTGGCTTACCCACTTCAACTATGATGGCAGCCAGCGTGCTGGCTTTGCCATCTGGACAATGGCAGCCAGCGTGCTGGCTTACCCACTTCAACTATGATGCTAGCCAGCGTGCTGGCTTTGCCATCTCAACAATTGCATCACCACATGCTGCACTGCAGACTGAACAATAACGTGTGAATCATCTGCCTCTGGTCATCCTGGTTGACGCTGAAGAAGTGGTCGTCAACAATGCCAAGGTTCCCTGGCATGATGGCTGGGCAAAGAGGAAGACCTACGAGCTAGTGGGCTGCAAAGTAGTAAATAGCGCATGCATAGCCATAAGAAGGCTCTGGTTCATGTGCGATATGAATATTGCAAAAGCTTGTGGGTTGCGTGAAACTTCTTCCAAGTATATTCGTCACTGCTGTTGAGTAGATATTTTGGTAGTTGGCTCAAGTTGTATGGAGACTTCTGCAATGTCACTGTCAGCACCGACAGGTCAGCCACGGAAAATACACAGTCTGTTGGCGCAGGCGCTCTGAGGGTGACATGTGCTTCGCTCTAGATGTTAAGAACCACTATGCTGTTCATTTTCTAATCGCCTCTCCTACAGAAACATGTTGTATGGAGCTACTCTGCGTACTAAAGTTGCACTGCCAAGTCGCCAGTTCTCATCTTCCCACTCCCCGGCTGCTCTGCGTACTACATTTGTACTACCAAGTCGCCAGTTCTCATCTTCCAGCTCCCCAGCTACTCCTCGTACTAAAGTTGTACTACAAAGTCGCGAGTTCTCAGCTACTACCCACTCATCAGTTCTCATCTCCCCACTCCCCGGCTACTCTGCGTACTAAAGTTGTATTACCAAGTCGCCACTTCTCATCTTCCAGCTCCACAGCTACTCCGCGTACTAAAGTTGTACTACGCAGTCGCCAGTTCTCAGCTTCCAGCCCCACAGATTGCTCCGCGTACTAAAGTTCTACTACAAAGTCACCAGTTCTGAGCTTCCAGCTCCCCAGCTTCCGCGTACTACAGTTGTACTACAAAGTCGCCAGTGCTCATCTCCCAGCTCCCCAGCTACAAACTCGCCAGTTCTCAGCTACTACCCACTCACCAGTTCTCATCTTCCCACTCCCCAGCACATCGCACTCTCGCCTGCATTTCGCGCACTCGACACGCACGATCTCCG